GGGAGAGGAGGGGGACTTTTTGGATAAGGCGCTTGGTAGCGGTGTAGCACCACATTCAAGAAAGCCGACCTCCTCTCCTCATGCACGTGTTCCGGCGTCCTTGCCTCCGTCTTCTGCCTCTTCCTCCGCCATCTCCATCTCTTTATCGTCCTCCTTGTCCAAGTCCTCCCACTCATCCTCCTCGTCAAGGCGCCCCCACTTCTCCTCCGCTTACTCGTCTTCACGGGTGCCACATGGTGCCACGTTTAAAAAGCCCACCTCCTCTCCTCCAGTCTTCTCTATGTCCTCCTCTTCGTCGTCGACCTTGCCCCTCTTCTCCACCTCCTCCTCGTCGACCTTGCCGCTCTCCTCCACCGCAGACATCTTCATCCCGCAATTGTCAAAGCTTTCCCGCTCCGTCACCATCCCGCTCTGTGCCGCGCCGTGGACGGCAAACGAATTCCTGCAAGGTGGACAGCAAACGAATCCCTGCACGGTCACCCCACAAACGAACCCCCCACCTTTCTTGCCTCTCCTCTCTTCTCCTCCCTCCTTTTCTCTGTCCCTCCCGCTCGATCTTCTTTCACGCCGTTGTGCATTGCCCTCCTCTCTTCTCCTCCCGCCTCCTTTCCTGTGCCCCTCCCCCTCAATCGCCTTTCCCTCTTCTCTTCTCCTTCCTCCTCCTTTCCTCCTTTCCTCCTTTCCTCCTTTCCTCCTTTCCTCCTTTCCTCCGCCCCTACCGCTCGATCGTCTTCCATGGTGTAGTGCGTTCGCCTCCTCTCTTCTCCTCCCTCATCCTCTCCTCTGCCCATCCCGCTCTATCCTCTTCCACAGCGTCTTCCGTTGGAGCCATCGCGAGTTTGCACGTGCGCTGTCCATGAGGTCCGCTGGTGCTCTTCTCCGTCGTCAACGCTGCTGCCAGCTCCTCCTTTCCTCTGCCGTCCAGCTCGATCACCTTCCACGGGCTCATCAGTCACCTTCGCCTTTTGCATGCTGCGCTCTTGGGCCTCAAGCGAACGTCAGTTCGGCTGAGCACGGATCCGCCAGTCTGAAACGACCCCGTCCTTTTCCATTTTTTTTTTTTTTTTTTTTTTTTGCGAAAATAGCCCTTGCCATAGCCCTCTATCCTGGCGGTGGTAAGAGAACCGTCAGAATTGAGGGCTTATCTGTCGGGCTGCTCCGTAAGAGAATCCTCAAAATTGAGGGCTTATCTGTAGGCCTGCTCCATCTATTGGTGGGGAGCGGCACCTGCTGGAAACCGGGTCCAGCGTCCCATTGATACATCTTGTAACACAGAGATTGCTGTTTGTTGTTCGCTGGGGCTGTGGTCATTATTGTCTCAGCCCAGGGCTCCGTTGTCCCATGGAGCTGCTAGTGTCACCCTTCCCTTCTTCGAGCACCCCTTATCTATTAGCCCACCGTATTTCAGCAGCCCCCCTGTTTGATTATTGCTATGTCTGTCCCTTTAAACCCTTTAAACCCTTTAAACCCTTTAAGCCCTTTAAACCCTGTAAACCCTTTAAACCCTATACCCTCTCGAAACCAGTGCATAACACATTCGTGATTGTTGTCTCCAACTACACCACACCCATCAAGCTAGTAGACTGTTGTTGTTGCTGGGTCTTCCTGCTATGCTGCTGGGGAATTTGGAGACAGTTCTATTGTGGTTCTGAGCTCTGTTGTTCCTGTAGATGTATGTCCCTGCCTTTTGTACTATTTGAGTCAGCCTCCAGCCGGGCCCCTGCCTGGCCCGTGTGTGAGGCTATTCTCTGTTAATTCCTGCTTTCTTACATCTGTCAAGCCACCACTAATTCTCTGCCATTGTCAACCGTCAATCCTCCAGTATTTCTTTACTGGTTCTCACACTGGTCTCATGTTTAACCCAGCAATCTGAGTGTACCTCTCGTGATCTCCCAGTTCCGCCACTTGGGTCCACCTTTTGTGTTCGAGGTCGGGTGTAGGGGTTTATGTTGGGGCTCGTCAATACGGAGTGGTGGAGCATCCAACCCCCATGGAGGCAAGTGGGGGGTGTTAAGCGATTGGTCTGGGATTGGGTGCGAGGGGGGTGACTGAGGGGGAGAAGAGGGTGGGGAGGGAGGGGGTGGTGGTGGTTGGGTCGGGAGCGGGGGATACTGTGGCAGATCATGGACGGATGTGGAGGGGTGGAGTATGGCCAGCTCTGCCTGGGAGGATCTGCCGGTGGGTGGGAGGTTCCTTCTTGTCCAGCACAGTTTCGTCTCGCCACCATTGTTTCCAGTGGAGGTTTCGGATTTAATCAAGAGTCGCCAGCTTGCGTGAGGGGTCCAGCCATTCCTGTTCAAACCTATGGATTCGTCTTTTCTTGTGGAGGTTTTGGTTTTAATCAAGAGTCGCCTTTTCTTGGTTTTAATCAGGGGTCCAGCCATTCCTGTTCACCATTGTTTCCAGTGGAGGTTTTGGTTTTAATCAAGAGTCGCATTTTCTTGGTTGTGTCAGTCATGGTTTTCAGAGATTCTTTGAGGTCTTTCCATGCCTGATGTATGTTTGTTCTGATTGTATCTATGATGTGGGGTCTGGCTTGAGGGAAGCCAAAAGTGTGTTGTTTTCGTTCGTCAGAGCACCGGGCTCGCCAGGCTGTCATCAGGACTTCCAGGCAAGTATAGTTGAAGAGGGTGCTTTGGAAGGTGGACCATGTCTGCTGGGCAGATGCGGGTAGGTCCAGTAACAATGTCCCAGGGTTCCATCAGAGGTCTGTTCCTGTGAGGTGCCTCCACGCTGCATCCCACCACCACCAAGTCTGATTGACCATGGGGCAGTCCAGGAGGCATTGCTCCAGGTCTGCCCACAGCTTTTGCGTGGATAGCCCACAGAAGGTACAGAGGGGAGATGCACTGCCCCTTTGTTCAAGTGAGGATCTTGACACAAGCAGTCCGGGGTCGGGAGGTACCGGTATACAATCTGCCATCGCAGCGCTCTCTGGGAGGTAGGCATTATGCACATGTAATGTGACCGGCGGAAGTTGTGAAGGGACGCTGTTGGTAGAGCGGAGTCTCTCTGCCAACGGTTTTTGACTATGTCTGTAGCGTCAACTGTCTTGTGATGTCTCGTGCAAGCAGTTCCCCGCAATGGTCGACAGGCAAAAAATTGGGACCATGCAAGCAGTTCCCTGCACGGGCCGACGCTCCGGCAGTACCGCCTCCCGACCATTTTTTTTTTTGGACCATTTCTCGGTAGGATAATTTCCGAAATACCCCTATGAGTTGAGATATATACCAAAATGCCCCCTAAAAGATGTGGGTAGAGCGGAATACCCCTCTGACAGAAAAAAATGTTTTGCGAAATGCCCCTTGCGTCAGTTGGACCTGCCATCTTCGCAAAATACCCCTGCCGGTTACTGTCCATCTTTGCAAAATGTCCCGGTACTTGCCAACTTTTCCCAGGCCCTATGTATTTTCGTTTTACCCCTAGTGGCCCAGGTCATCTTTGCAATTTGCCCCCTCACACACACACACACACACACACACACACACACACAGAGAGAGAGAGAGAGAGAGAGAGAGAGAGAGAGAGAGANCCCCCCCCCCCCCCCCTCTCTCTCTCTGTCTCTTGTGTGCACTCTTAGTCTCATTGCTTTAGCTACCTTAGGGTTGTGTTCCCCGTACCCACGTGGTAGACAATAAGGGCAAAGGGTCGAGGGCACGTCGTGAAGGCAGATATTCGCAACCCTAAGGCTGCGGTTTACTGGGTTTTGGCGTCTGTGTCAAGGTGTCACATTTTTGGCGGCGGGTGACCTGGACTCAAAAAGGGTTCTCTGGGGGCAAAAAAAATTGGGAAACCGGTCCTTGCCAAAATCGTGGACTACCTACAACTAGCTCTGGTAGAATCGGAACTTTTGGAAAAAAAAAAGACCGATCCTAGGGTGAAAGTGGACCCCAAAAAGAAGTGGGGGGCCGTTGGACGGGTCCACAGGTGGAAGCGGACCCCAAAATAAAGTGAGGGCATGTGAACTGCAAAAGGGCCCTCAGGCCGAGGCGTTGAGGTCCGTCTTCTAAAAACAGGGAGGTCAGGTGCAACAAAATAGACATTTTGCAAGAGGCAACTTTGACGATTTTCTGTGCTCGGAGGAACCTGCAGAAAAATATGAAAATTTGAGAAACCATAGATGAGGTCGTGTTCTTTCTAGAAAAAATATTAGAATATTAAAAAAAAAAAAATTAGCCCGAGAAATAATAGTCGGCACATTTTCCATTTTTGCCATTCAGCCATGTGTGGGCCAACTGAAAAAGTACTCCAAATTCAGTGATTTTTCACTCTAAAAAAAATGCGTGAAAAAACCTGAAAATTGAAGTACTCGTAGATGTTGTTGTGATTTTTCCAGGGAAAACACTAAATAAATTGAAAAATATCATTCCAACTGCGAAATAGATCGCGGCCGCAATTTGACCCATATTTCAATTTTGTCATTCAGCCTCACTCTCTCTCTCTCTCTCTCTCTCTCTCTCTGTGGTAGGCCCCCCACCTCCCTCTCTCTCTATCTCTCTTTCTTTCTCTCTCTCTCTCTCTCTCTCTCTCTCTCTCTCTCTCACTCAAATGGAACAAAACTTTCTCTCTCTCTCTCTCTCTCTCTCTCTCTCTCTCTCGTGCGAGCTCTTAGTCTCATTGATTTGGCTACCTTAGGGCTGTGTTCCCCGCGCCCACGTGGTAGACTATTTTGAAAAAGGACTGTGGCCTCCTCGGCCTCCGACGGTCCTGGACCAAAACCCGTGCGGTCCCACGGGCAGCTACCGGTCCTGCAGTTTCAAATAAGATGCCACCACCCCCTAAACTGCCATGCCTTGTTCTTACAGCCTTCCAACGACCGTATAAAGAATGAAGATGAAAAATGTTCAGGGGGGGAGAACGCACCCCTGACGAGCTAAATTTGTGTCACCATCCCTCAAGGGACATGCCAAAAGCGTAGCCCCATGTCTCGATTTATATGCATGTCATCCCTGCGCAGGAGCCATGCTAATCTTCTCTGTATCATTCCAAGATGTCTCCAAGGGCTCAGGTCTTTTCTTGGGGTTCCTCTTCAGCGGCAAGTGCGCGACGCGATCTGGGCCTCGCCTCGCCAGGAACAACCGTGCGATCTGGGCCTCGCCTCGCCAGGAATGTCCCGGCAGCAGAAGTGCGCATTCTCCCTAAAACCCTAAACCCTCGAAATCGCGTGGAAGGAGGGAAAAGAGGGGTGGAGTGCGCAGCGGCGAAGGGGATCAGTTATGTGCCGCGCCGCCGATGTCGCAGCTTCGTTCTCCCAATTCAGGAAAAAAACGCTGTAGTACCTTTTTTTCGTAATCAGCTGAAGGTCGTCGAAGGGAAACCGGGGAGGGAAGCCGGGGGGGCAGCTGTAGTACCTTTTTTTGGTAATCAGCTGAATGCGCGTTGAAAGACGTGATCCGCTGGGGGTGGAGTGAGCGTTGAGAAACGGGATCAGCCGCCGTGCTGGTAATGCAGCAGCCCAGGTGCGTTCGTCGAAAGGTCGTCGAAAGTGGCGCGAAGGGTTTTTTCGATCTGTGGTCGAGCTCACAGCAGCGTGAACTGACACGCAAAGCGAAGCGGACGAAGGAGGTGAGGGGGAGGAGGAGGAGGAGGAGGAGGAGGAGGGTGTGTGTACGCCACTTGCAGGGGCAGAGTGTGTGAGACGACGGGGATTGATCGAGATTGTTGCAGGGAAGAAAGTGGAGAAGATCATGAGGGCCTTCTTCTTTAAGTTGAGGAGTATTTTTATGCGTTCGCCGAAAAACAGGGATGAGATGAATCCAACGTTGATTCAGCGGCAAAAAGGGCGAAGAGGAAGACGAAAAGGATGACCGAAGTTATGCCGAGGGAGAGGAAGAGGAGGAAGAAGAGGAGGAGGAAGAGGAAAGCCTCACGGTGGTTTTAGGACACCAGCAACGAGCTGGACGAGACAGACAGGGAGGAGGAGGAGGAGGAGGAGGAGGAGGATAGTTTTGGAGAGATGGTGTGAAGAGGAGAGCGAGGAGCAGCAGCAAAAGCAGGAGGAACAGAGCGCATCAGCGGCGACCTTGATTGGTAATAATCACTGAAGAGGTATGTCCCGCCTCAATCTTCGTTTCCGCTTCTTCTTTTTATTTTGGTGTTGTTTTTTTTGAAATTATTAATAGCTTATTTTCTTTTGCCTTCCTCCCTGTTCTTAACTCCCCTTCTCTTCCCTCTGTGTCCCTCTTCCTCCTTTCCCTTTGCTTTCCCTCCACCCATCTCCCTAACCCTCCCTTTGCTTTCCCTCCACCTATCTCTCTCTTCCTGTCTTCCTTCAGCTGGGTCCATAGATGCTTCTCAAAAATCTTATGCCCGCCATTTCCGTTCCTATCGCCGTCTCTCAGCATTCTTCTCTCTCTCTCTCTCTCTCTCTCTCTCTTTCTCTCTCTCTCTCTCTCTTTTTACACCCCTCCCTGCTTCTTGTACCTGATAGGGGTCTCCTGTATAGGCTTAGGAGTAGTGGTAGGTAGGTAGTAAATGTCAATTAGAAAAAGAAAGATGGAGAGTCCAGGCCTAATAGGGGAGCAAATACAACCCCCGCGATATTGAAGCGTTTGGTCTGTCATAGATTATTACCAAGGGCACAGACGGCCAATCGGTTAAAAAACTCAAAAGTCCCGGCATGCCCTTAGCCCCCATCTCGCGCGCTTACACGCACTCAGTAGCTCGCCCATATCGTCTTCTCTCCGCGCCCGCCGCCTTTCTCCCTTCCCCTTCCTCCCTCCTCCCAAGCGTGTCCCCTTAGGCGGACGAAAATACATTTCCCCCCTCCTGGCCGGAGGGGCTGGCGTATGCACGACCGTCTGTGTACTTGTATATGTCAGACGATCGCGATCAGGTTGGGATCCTGACGAACACTGACATGTTTGACAGCGATCTCCCCTTCCCCCCTTTCCCCATGTCAGCTTAAACGCTGAGAGCCCCCC